TATGCATGTGTGTGTGTGTGTGCATGTGCATACATACACACACACACACATACATGCACACACACGCACACAGACACAGGCACACACACACGTACACACACACACACACACACACACACAGGCACACATGCACACAGACACAGGCACACACGCACACACACACACACGCGCGCGCTGAGAGCAAGGAAGAGGCGGGATTCATCGGTTGACAACGAGGAGATCACGAGCCAGTTTGCCAGGCAGAGTGTGCATGCACGAAATGAGCGCGCATGACATGTATATTCATAGGAGAATGAGAGGCACACTAGATACCACTGAGCTCTGCCATATTCGGCAAACTACACAGACCAGTACAGCCCGGAGATCTTGCAAAAGTTTGCTTGATTGCGATATCATTAAAGGGGAAGTTAAGGCAAAAAATAAAATTTCACCAGTTGTAGGTTTCGGGGTGCTGAGTCGAATGGTCGTGGTCCGAGGAAGCTGAGACGCTCCCTTCCTACTTGAATCCCAATCGAACTCGCGCACTTCCACCGAAACTGGGTGACTGCGCCCTACTAGATGGGGATTTGTATGCAAAATCTCACTAAAAGCGCCATTTCGTTCTTATAAAAGCACGGATGACCGCGATTGGGCCATATGTTGTAGTCTTTTGGACGCTGAGTCGACTGGTTTTGGTCCGAAAAGGCTGCGATGCAGCGTTCCTCCTTTATTCCCAATCGAACATGGTTGAACAAGCGGTCACGTGCTCCTGCGTACACCAGTCACCTGGTCACCGTGCCTGCAGGGTACAACTTACTAGCCTGTTTGACCTTTTTTTTGGGTGCAGTCCTGTCACTCGAGTTGAACCTTGGTGTGAAAGTTGTCGCCTGCTGGCGTGGTGACCACTGGTCACGTGCTCCTGGGTGCCCAAATCACCGGGTGATTTGGGCACCCAGGAGCACGTGACCGCTTGTTCAACCATGTTCGATTGGGAATAAAGGAGGAACGCTGCATCGCAGCCTTTTCGGACCAAAACCAGTCGACTCAGCGTCCAAAAGACTACAACATATGGGCCAATCGCGGTCATCCGTGCTTTTATAATAACGAAATGGCGCTTTTAGTGACATTTTACATACAAATCCCCATCTAGTAGGGCGCAGTCACCCAGTTTCGGTGGAAGTGCGCGAGTTCGATTGGGATTCAAGTAGGAAGGGAGCGTCTTAGCTTTCTCGGACCAAGACCATTCGACTTAGCACCCCGAAGACTACAACTGGTGAACTTTTAATTTTTGCCTTAACTTCCCCTTTAACCCTTTGAGCACGCATGACGTATTAATACGTCACGTACAGTGTCACTGCACCCACGCATGACGTATTATTACGTCGTGAGTGTACATAGCGTACAAACGCGATTTGCATGAACCGCGTGAGTTCAAACTATCGTAACTCGGTCAATTCTTGGCCGATTCTCACGATCGAAATATGTATCTGCAAGAGAAAACTCTCAGCTTGCGATAGAAACAATCGCCGAAGCGATACGACCCCGGGTTATTGAGATATGCGACTCGACACGGCAAATTCAAATCGATTTTTTTGCAAACTCTGCAGAACGCGTATTTTCCATTTTCGATCATTTTCGCGCTATCTGCTGCCATGGAAACTAGATTCAAATGATGGCAGCGGATCTGGAGAGTCCTCAAAAAAATTTGAGCTCGATACGAGCAAGGAGAGTGAAATGGCAGCTGAGGATTTGATCTTCTGGCCGTGCTCAAGTCTGTCGAGCGCGTGCGTGAAGTTTGCCAGACTGTAGCATGGGCTTTTGGTGTCGCTCCGAGCTGAGCTTGGAACTATTTTGTTCCTCGCCTCAAGACCTTTGCAGGAAGCTCAAGATCGTGGAATTCGTCCAAAGAAAGGTAAAGTTATCGATCCTTGAACAGCTACTACTTTCATAGGAAAAACGCGATTTTTGCAGGTGTTGGCGTGGGGCGGCATTCAGGTAGCGTCGTGCTCAAAAGGTTAAAGACCTTACTTTCCTTAGCAGGGTCGGATCTGGGGGTCCCAGGGGTTCCGGGGAATCCCCTAAACTTCGCAAGTGTACTACTAGAAACCATAATTATGCATGTCATTGTGCATATATCACCCCACCTACTGTATTCAGTTTTGGAAACTGGAGCCCCTGTAGAGATCTCTCTATCCACCCCTGTAGAGATCTCTCTATCCACCCCTGTAGAGATCTCTCTATCCACCCCTGTAGAGATCTCTCTATCCACCCCTGTAGAGATCTCTCTATCCACCCCTGTAGAGATCTCTCTATCCACCCCTGTAGAGATCTCTCTATCCACCCCTGTAGAGATCTCTCTATCCACCCCTGTAGAGATCTCTCTATCCACCCCTGTAGAGATCTCTCTATCCATCCCTGTAGAGATCTCTCTATCCATCCCTGACTGGTGTAGCTCTAGTGTACTGCATGGCTCTGCCCCGGATCTGCCACAGGCATAGAGTCTCTCTCTAGCAGGTCAAGGTCCACTGCCTCTGTGCTTGATTGCTCTTAGGTGTCATTCGCCACTTGAACAACTGGTTGCCGTATGTGAATGTCAATACAGTCAGACCTTGCTTATCTGGTCCTCTTTTATCCGGATCCCTCGCCATCCGGAAGAAAATCGTTGGTTACTGATTTACAGCATATGCCATGCATACTTAGGCGGTGTTTAAATGAGGAGTTTCAATCCGGGTCGAGTTCAGCCCGGGTTGAAAGTCTGCACGATAGACAAAATAGGTGAGCGTTTACATGAAGACAGTTGACCCGGGTCAAATACTGATATGCCGCCAAAAGTCCACTTCTAGAGTCCTGTATGGTCACGTGAATCCGTTCGCGCGAAATTTGCATCTGCAGTGCTGTTCCAACCTGGCGCGAGATACGTGCAGAAGTACGTTAGTACGATTTTCTTGACCCAGGTTGATTTCAACCCTTCCCCCAAAGGGGAGGGTTGAAATCAACCCGGGTCAAGCGCAATCAAGAGTACATAACCCCCCAGAGTGTGCAACGCCGATCCAGCTCTGCATAGGGTCTTGGTCGAGCGGAATCGGATCTTCTGATGTCATGCGTACACTCCACACCAGCGCAAAGCCGGTCTCGAGGCAGGGTACCGTTGTTTCTGATCAAAGAGTACCCGCGACTCCCCGGGTTCCCCTCAGATGTGTACGGTATTATGACGCAAAGATCCGATTCCGCTCGACCAAGACCCTATGCAGAGCTGGATCAGGCGTTGCACACTCTGGGGGGTTATGTACTCTTGGCGCAATGCGTCACGTAAACGCGCCATTCGTTTTGTGTACACGGCGGGTTGAAATCTGACCCGGGTCGAACTCAACCCGGGTTGAAAAGCCTCATGTAACACAGCCTGACTGTATGTGTGTTAGATTATCCGGTTCCCTCGCCTATCCGTATATTTCTGTGGAAAACGGACGTGTGCGGTTAAGCGAGGTCTGACTATGGATGCAAAGCCTACCTGCATTTGCTGCCGCCTTGTTCAGTTTGATGAAGTCGCGCGGCATTCGCGCCGGTTCCATGCTCTTCCGTGTGGCGTTCCCATAGTTCCAGTGACCGATGGCTGCAGTGAACAGTAAACACACACACACACACACACACACACACACACACACACACACACACACACACACACACACACACACACACACACACAAATATGCATACCTAACACATACGTACACACATGGATAGATCGATAGTATTATGCCCCTCGACATTCGTCTTGTTGAGCACTCTCGGCAGGCTGCTCTAGTGCTGCTGCATCAAGCATTGTCTGCTACTTTCCGTTGTAAGAGCACTCTGGTGCTAGAGCGACGAGCTATCTTAATGTCTGTGGTGCCTCCTTTGCACCATGGCTGGTAGCTCGGCTTGCTTAAAGCTCGTAGCTGTACTGATGAGGCCTTTATGGCCGAAACAGCTTGCTGTCTACAGCATTGGCTCGATTGATAGATGGATGGATGGTTGGATAGCTGGCTTATCTGATAGATAGGTAGGTAAATTAGGCGCGTGCGCCGGTGCCCTTCAAGGGCGGGGGTTCCGGGGGCCTCCCTCGGGAAGATTTTCAAAAAATAGAAAAATCCTGCATTTTGAGCGAAGAAAGGGGGGTTCCGGGCACCCAGGAACCCATGCGGAGCACGCGCCTGTAGATAGATAGAGAGAAAGGGGAGAGAGAGAGAGACACACACACACACACGCACGCACACACATACACACACACACAGATTGAGATCAGTACGTACCAGCTGCGGTTCCTCCATCATTTGATATCGTCTTCTTGCCGTAGGAGAACTGCAGGTCCGGCAGGGCGTACGATGCCTTTTTCACAGCACCAACTTTAGTCTGAAAACCAGATCAGAGTAAGGAGCAGTGTAGAGGCCTCGGATGCCATGCACATTCAGACATATGTCTGATTGTTTGGCACAGTGTTGCTAACTGGAAACAGGTCTTTCTAGGAGTAAATATGAAAGGAATTCGGGTGGACACACCCATTCCCATTGCGCTGCACATCCGAACCAGTTCCGTTATTTTCACCTTTTACAGGTGAAGCTGCAGGAAGCCTCAGCCCTTCTTCAGGTATACTATCTAGTTACAAGTAATTCTAGTGAGGTCATGTGGTCACATCATCAGCTGGGATTCTTTGTGTGGAGCGGCAAAGCTGCCGTGTAAGCGACCTCTGCTTTTAGCGACTACCTGCTCTTAACGACCGTTTTCCATGCACGGACAGTTCTACACAGACACTGTGGGACCTGCTTCTAAAGACCACCTGGCTTGAACGGCCGCTTTTGCTTGCACCGTGAGGTGGTCGCTTAAACCCGGTTTTACTATATATCAGTTTGATGGCCATAATTAATTTTAAACCTCACATTCCGCAGACGTGAGCGACGTACTAACCGGGATGAGTAGGGGGTTTTCCCTCATGGTGCTACGCTGCACGCCGACACGGTCCGGTGTGTTCATTGGTCGTTGCTTGG